TTTTTCCAATTGAGTAATAAAAGTTTATATTATACTTATTTGACATATTATTAATAGATTATTTAACTTTAATATTTATTGTTATCATTGTTTAATCCTTGCGTTAATCTTCCATCTCAAAGTTCTCATTAACTTCTTCTTCTTCTTCATTATCATTATTATTACTACTACTAGTAATAGTACTATTATTGTTGTTGTTGTTGTTGTTCTTGTTACTATTGTTGTTATATTATTATTATCTATAATTTATACAATTAACCTCCCTATGATTTCAACCCCGATCTTGCCGGGTTATTTATTACTTTGACACTCCAGCACGTGGGAGAAGATATCAATCTTTTGATCGTGTCAGTGACTAGGACAACGGTTGATTAACTTGGGTTGATGGCATCCGAAATGAATGACCGTGGTGAGTGAACAATTAGCCTAAGCTAATTATGCCTTAAGAGGATAGCCAAGTTTAAAATTATGAATGATGAAAAGAATTTGTGCATATATATGTATTACAAGTTGTTCATACTAAGTACAAAAAGAAAATATAAATGTCATGCTTTAAACATGGAATACTGTTAATGCTTCATAAAATTGTCAAAATATTTAATTATCATTATTATTATTAAGTAATTACATTTTCTTAAATATTTTGTACTACACTAAGGATGTCATACCAACGAGGTGCCTAAGAAACCCAATACATGGTAACTTACTTTTGCAAGAAATCATGTAGTTGTATTCTAAATCACGAAATATTTTATATGAATCAATATACTAAACATATAACATTTATTAAATCCTTCTGTTTAAATTTGTGATTAAATTTGTGATGACTATTAGTAGGATAGGAATGCAAACTCATATTTATATATGTATATTTTTAATATGAACTTCTAGTCATGCAAACATAATATCATCTATTAATGTAAGATTTATTTTTAAATAAAATGTTAATTGTGATTGATATATAAATTGTATCTTAATGATATGAGGGAACATGTTCGCCAATTACCGATACGATATGTGTCAAGTACAAAAAAAATAAAATTATCATTGTTTTGGGTTTGAAAAGCCTGGTTGTTACATAAATTGTGATCAATACAAACATAACTTAGATATTCTATAAACATATTTTATTTTGGAAACAACATCAATAAATAGTCAATAAAATTATGAGTATATCAAATTGATATCTGAACAACGAAAATATTATACCACTGGCTTTGTTACAAGTTAGCATAAATGCTTATCTAAATGTTAGATTACTAAGAAAAATCTCCATTTTCTTCATTCTAGTTCAAAATTTTTTACCACGGCATGACTGAAAAAATCAACAATATCTAATTGATCTATAGATAGATATGCATGAGACCATGTCATTTTCTTCACCTAGATGATTGCAGGATCATTGTGCGCAGGTGTTGCAGTCTGAACAGGTGGAGAAGACTTGACCTGCAAATCCAGTAACCAAATGCACCAAAGAAGAAAAAAGAAATGTTAAGCTATTGTAACTCCTTAAATATTCAATATGATCCTCTGAAACTCAATTACTGAAGAATGCCTTTATGTTTATGCATGCTGATATACGGAAAAGCTTTAATATTAATTAGCTGAAACTGACTACGCATGACATGTCCATAGCAATATTGTCAAAAAATTTAGGGGCAATTAATTTATGATATCATACACCAAACGTTTTTGCCAGCAAAGAGGCAGGTGCTTCACATGCATATAATTCCATGTACAGGTCAGGCCAGCATGGTTGGTGAATTCATTACCTAATTCAATCCAAGCACATATTGACCAGACTTAACCAAGAACTTAATGATAAGTGTAAATTAAAGAGAAAACACAGAAAAAAAATACATAACCTTGCGACTACCAACAGCTAGCAAGGTTTTGCTTGCCCAATGAGTAGGGAGCAGAGTGTCAAAAAACCCATCCATGACAAACAAACCTTCTATCTGTGGCTAAAAAACTCCAACTTGTACTTCTCATGGCAGACCATCTATACAATGCTAAAATATGTAGTTGATTAATGGTCAATCTTCTGAACATGGTGCAGGAATGACCATAAACAACAGCTTTGAACTTACATACCATACAACAAAATGCAAGAAATGTGAAATATTTATTGTGTAACCTATTACTCGCATGAAAACTATAGACTCCATTGCTCCTCACTTGCCATCGCCCATGCAATCATGACAGAGTCAAGATTCGGACAACACCTTTAGAGCAAGATAAGCTTTTTCTAGTTGTTCAGTTTGGTAAATTTATTTATTGTCTTCTACAAATTTAAGTTTTGCTTGGTAATTTGAAATAGAAAAAATTACATTGCTTCTCTGTTTTTACACTCTCTGTTCTCTCACAATTTACATATCCACAGTCTCTAAATTGAGCAACACCTTCTCCTACAAAAATCACCCTCAAGTTTTCAAATAGCCTAAACCAAGAAGAGCTTCACAGATCTATAGCAACTCTATCAACTTTTGAAATTTTAATGGATTTAAATCAGCTCATTTTATTACTCAAACGAAGTAGAATAATTGGAACGATTAACAAAGGAAAAGACCTGCAAACAAGTAGAATTACTGGAACGAACTCAACAAAGGATCAAACTCAAGCAATTAAAAGTAATTGTCTCTGATGATTGGTGACCATCTCTGTGTCACACACTCAAGTAAGGAGAGAAAAGAAGGAGAAAGCAAGGACTGGGATAAAGAACAATCAAGGCTAAAAATCCCTTTCCAGTAAGAAAAATTGAATATAAGCAATTAAATATTACCTGTTGATAAATAGTGATTCAGTGAAGACTGAAAAGGATGTCGTTGATGATGGGAAAAACAAGGAAAGCGTTGTTGATGAAGAGTGAAGATTGAAGAGAAAGCTGTTGAAGTGTTGAAGAAGGGATAAAAAGGAAAATGTTGTTGATGAAAAGGAAGTCGTCGATCTCATGTTTGGTGGTTAATTGTTGAATCATCTGAGAGCCTGAGACTGAGAGAAGGAGATTAGGGTAAATGTTGCATATGTATGCATTGTAGCTAATGTTGATGTGGAGTGCTAGAAGCTTGAAATATGCATGCGATTTTTTTTTTGTTAAAATCTTAAAAATGGTTTCAAACTCTTGATCTTGATTTCACCTTATTTTACCAATTTTACTTGATATTAATTTGATTTTATTTTTAAAATAATTTTGTATATTAATATATATTAACATATAAAATTATATAATTTTATAAGTTAATTTACGAATTTAACAATCTTAGACCAAATTATAGTATTAATTAAGATTAAAAATTAATTTTGGTTAAAATTAATTAAGTGAAAAGATTTAATTAAATTTTTAAGAGGTTAAATTAATTTTATTAGAAATTTAATTTGTAAAAAAATAAATTTAAAAATCTAATTTGAATTTATTTAAAAAGATTGAAATATTAAAGAATCAAATTTAATTATTATAAAGTCAATTAGTTTAAATTAGAGATATAATTATAAAAAAATTAAAATTTTTAAGTTATTTAAGAATTAAATTAAAAAAACTTAAGACCAAATACTTTTAAGTAAAAGGACCATGAATTAATGTTTCAAAGAGTGTAATTTAAAGAATTTAAAGTTTAAAGGTGAAGAAACTCAAGACTAAAAATATTTATACAAAGGTGAGTAAAAGTTTAGAGATTAAATAATAAGAAAATTAAAAATTTTCATGATGAAGTCAAAGAGGCGCTTGCATTCAGGGTCTCACATTGACGTAACCAGTGACCTAATTGAAAGAAATCAGGAGAAATCCATCAAAATTAAAAGGAATCGACCCATTTCGAAGAAAATACAAAACGGTGCTGTTTTGGCACAACTGTTCACTTTCTTCTTCATTCTTCCAGCAAAGGCTAGTTGTGGCTTTACTTTGTAGAGTTATTTAATACATGTTCTCTCTACCAAATGGGACAAAAAAACACACCATCACCACCTGACATTGTACTTCCAGACCAACCTAATAATCGTCGGTTTGGCGCTCCTAAGACCGCAGCCATACTGGTCCAAAGTAAGTGACCTGACCAGCTGTCAACAGCAGGGTCTGAATTAGGTACACTTTTTTGTTCTTTCAACAATGGCTGGGATTAACTAGGATTAATCCCAGAGGTTTTAATGGTTGAGATTTGGCTCCAAATAGGAGCCAGTACATCTCCCTCATCCCCTATGCATAAGTTTCTCTCTTGGCCAAAATACGCCCCTTTTTGCACCAGTTTTTCTCTTGGCCAAGAAAGCAAAAAGAAAACCACGACCTCTAATGACTCTCCTGGCCATTTTGTTTTCCTCTCATCATCAACCAATGTTATTTCTTCTCCTTCTCCACCGTGCAACATATCATTTACGGCGAACCTCTATTGCTGCCTCTTCCTTAAGTCCAATAACGCCAATGTCCAATAATGCCAACTAACCTGCTTCTCCTCTCCCTCTTGCTCTTTTCTCTTTGTTGTTGCAGGACGCGAATTATTTCACGTCAACCCTCAGCTCAGCCCCATCCCAAAAAAAAAAGAAAAAAAGAGGGAGACTTTGGGCCTTCAATCAACCCAACCAGCTAGGTTGAGCTGGTGCCTCGGCCAATCATCCTAGCCACTATACTAAGGCTGTATTTGATAGATACACTGTTATATCTTTCCCTTTATTTTTATTTTATTATAATATCTAACCCAATAGCCTCTTAAGAAATCTTAGAAAATTTTGAAAAAATCTTGAGATCATTTTGAATTTATTTCTGGATTCCTCATATATTTTTCCAATCAATTTACTTAATATTGGGATCAAAATCTCAAAAATTCCAAAAACTTTCTAAAAATTCCTCATTTAAAAAATACAAAAATATATTTTATTTAAAAAATTATATTTTCATCATATTTTAAAAAATAAAATAAAAAATTGATCAATACATCTCTTAACAAGTTTGCGATTATTTATTAAGATTTAGTTAAAATTTCAAATAAAAACCTTTTTTTTATTAGTCTTTAGGATAGTAGTTAGGTTCTAACATGATAAGATAAAAATCTTTTTATCAAGAAGAACTTTTTTCAATCTTAGACAAATATTTATAGGTTTTAGAATGACTAGGTTTTAATCTAATGAGATAAGAATCTTCTTACTGAAAAGAATATTTCTCAAACCTTAAATAGACTAATTAATATAAATATAACTTAGAATAAACAATAAAGCAATTTATCATAAGTAAGGTACACTAGAATAATACATCTTCCCCTTACATAATTATTACCATTATCCAAACTCTTACATACCATTGGGTTTTTTGATGACTATAATATTAAGTAACGATTTTTTTTTTACTAATAAATAATAAAAATTCCTATTTTTTCTATTGACATATATCATAATAATTCTGATATGTAAGGATGATTGTCATGGCGCAACATATATACGACATTAATTTTAAAGTTTTAATTATATTGTTTTAATATGTAATAATTTATTTGGTTTCTCGCAATTGTTTGTTAAATATCAAACATATATAAACATAAAAAGACATTAACCAAAATTTCAAACTTTTAGGTATTATTTCAAGAAATTAAAAAAATAATTAAAAATAGAGTTAGGTGAGAATGCAAAAATAATGATAATGATAATTATTATTGTTATTAAATTTTTACAAATCTTATATTCATATTCTAAACATATAGACTGAGAATATAATTAAAAAAATATATAAATATATGAGATTATAAATATTAATATTATTATTGTCATTGTTGAAGTTTATATATCTTAAATTCTCAATCTAAACATTTGTCCGAAGAAAAAGGATAAGTAATTTTATACTTAATGTTTAATGACGGCGTCTATGATCTTTGGAACAGGCCTTCAACTTCAATCAATTTTCAAATATTTAATTTCCAAGATTTGACTGTAATACATCACAAAATGAATAAGATTTTCTCAATTTGAAGGGTTGTTTCTAAAGTGCCCATCGAATTTCTAATTGGTACTATACAATCTATTTTAATTGATTCTATTACATTGTAATATCATAGGAACTGTCAGAAAATAATTACAGAATGACACATTATCAAACATTGGCATGAATTTTAGGAAGATCTATAGTATGAATACCCTTGTTTATTCCATTTTCCAGTAGCATGACAAAAAAAAATTTATATTTCAATATATTGTTTTCTAAATTAATGTTCCAGTATCTTTTAATCATTTTTCTCCGCTTCCTCTTTTTTTTTTTGGAACGAAAATAGATACCATAAAACAAATTAATATTTTCTTTATAAAAAAGACTATTTTCCAATAATATGATTCAAATGATTAATTTCTTTCTACCTCTTATTATCTTTGTAATATCTTCGAGCAAAAGTATTAATAAACTCATTAATGGAAAGAAAAAGATTAATTAATTCAACCAAATATTTTTTTTCCTGATATATTCATCTTTATATTTTTTTTTTCTAAAAGAGTTCAATTTCTTTTGTACTTCCTAAAATACTCATTCAGGTATGAAATCATGAGTTTACCCATAAATTAACTAATTTTATGTGACTAATATTATTTTTATTTTAATCTTAATATTTTTTTAAAAAATATGACTTCACAACCTAGAAGTATGATATTCTTAGTTCTGTCTCTTCAGATTCTAAAGTTCAGAGAGGATTTTTTGAACAATCAGTATTCCTTTTATATATTGCATGTGCACATTCCACCTATTTAAAAATATGAAAGTAATCTTTTTTTATATTTTGTACTTTACCAAACTTGGGCGGTCCATATATATTTGTTCAAATTCACTGTCTTCCAATCGCATAAGAAGGCCACAATGCCTTCCAACTTCTTTTATAACTAGAATGTAGACAAATAGATCATGCGACTCGTTAACATACATGCATTTTGGGAGTTAATATTATATACATTTTAGGGATGACATAGTGATTCTATCCTTATAAAAATACGTGCATGTGTCTCATAGCACCGCAGACAATTATAGCTTTATTGGACTGAGCATTCATATCATTATGGTCTGATCCGTCGTTCTTTCTATTTATTCACAATTATTGTATCTCAACCTTCCAAAGGTGATGTAATTGGTCGGCCGGTGAATATAAGAAATTAATACAATTCAAGTTATCTTCCTTTTTCATCTCATGTTCCGATATTTAAAATCCAGCTTCGACTTCCCTGCCCCAAAATATTTTAAAAAAAGAATTTTATCATTATTTTATAATTATTATTTTAATTTAAAAATGACTCTATTCATTTAAAAACATAATCCATTACAATTAATATATACAAGAAATCAAATAATAAAAGGAATGGACCTATAAAATCTATATTTCAACAGTAAAAAAATCTCAATGACAAGAATACAATTTAAATATATCATGTGATGTTTTGAAATAGATCACAACTTCTAACAATTCTTACAAGTTTTGTAGAATGTATGTGAGTCTTTAAGTATAGTGGGATAGTAAAATCTACTTTGTAAGATTTTTGCAGTTGTCTTTCTTGATGAGAAATGATCCCTATACACCTTAGAATGAAAAAATTTAATGACACTACTTACCTTATTATCAGGAATGCATCTTCAAAATATTTGATTAGGATAATATTTTAATAAATAAGGGTCATCCCAATAAAAGTTCTTCACTTCGTTCAAGAACTTTCTTTTATCTTGGGTATTCCAATAAGCTAGCAGTTGTCCTAAAATAAGAAAATTAACAATATTAGCACACTAAGGCATTATAGAGACAAAAAGTAAAGATTCATTGAAAAAGTAGTCATCAATTGGTGTGATGTTAGTTTTCGAATCTGTTGTCAATCTTGACAAGTGATCTGCGACAACATTTTCGCTGCCTTTCT